TTTTTATTTGGGAATTTTTTGCTAAAAATGTCAATTCTAGATTCACAGGGGTGCTGTGAGGTGGCAGCCACAGACCTGGAAGCAGAGACCTGGTGCTTCACGAAGCGGGCTTTGATTTCAACAGCAGGAAACTGAGGCACCTCTTGGTTCTTGATCCAATCATCATCTCTCTTCCAGGAAGAGCAACCAGTAACCAGACTGCAGATTCAATCTGCACAGAGAGTAGTTCAGTATTTCATACAACGTACAACAGGAAAGACAAATTCTGCATCTGGACTTGCACACTGATGCACGCCAGAGTGCATCTGATGAGCCTGGTTATTCCTGATTCGAAACCTGTGCCCTCTGCCTACTAACTAAGGCTCTTTCCCCTTTTCCCTGCTCCCCTGCTTTTTCTGCCCCCTTGCCCATCATAGAGTATTCACTCCCCTCTGCCATCTGTTATCACTCTCCCTCTCTTTGTCCCCAGGCATTCTTGCATACCTTGCTTTCAGTAAGGTCTCACTAACCTGATCCTACTCTGCCTCCACACAGCACAGGAACCCTTGGCAGGCTGCAAGAAAAACACATGCCAGGAGTCTCATTTGGAGAATGCCTACAGTTTTGCATGGAAACCAAGGGGCATGTGTGAGTGTGTTTGGAGGGGGAGGAGATATACAGGGTCTCAGAGTTCTAGGGTGTAATCAGGACACACCTCAATGTAAAATGTAGGAAGTTTTCCTGGATGTGATAGAACAGATCTAGCTGGAGGGATCCTGACTCCAAACTATGCTGCGGTGACTGAAATGCTCCACCAGGGAATGGAAGGCCTTTCTCAAGCAAAGCAAAGACCCATATAAAGTACTACTACAATTGCCACTGCACCAGACAGCACTCATTTCCTATGACAGTAATTTCCTAGGCTGAAATGAAAATACGTCAGTTTGAAATCACTGAAATGAATCTTTTCAGTTCTGAGTTTTTTCCCTTCATTTTCTCTTGAGCAAAACTACATAAACCTGCATTTTTGGGGATGAATAACTATCGGCTGAAATGTTTTGTTCCAATGAAGGCTGTGTCATTGGACAAGGAAGCAGGTCACACTTCCCTGTGCAAGATAAAACTGTTAGGTGGGTTTTTTCACCATACTACCCCTTCATGGGGCTAAGACAACTGGATACTGAATCCAACTTTTACAGTACTTGGCCAAGATTGTCTGCTTATTCCCTGGAGAGTTAACAGGAGTGTCTTCTTTCTGGAGAGCTCCACAGGTGTTTGCATGTTAGCACTGGAATGGACAATCAGCCATAACTGAGGTCTGGAGTTTCATCAAATGCGTGATGGCATCATAGCACAGTCAGCTCAACAGCATGGGAAAAAACAAGTGTTGTCACCTGGATGGTGAGTGGTAAAGTAATGTATTCTGTCTGCCTTGCCACTGTTGGCATCAAAATTCAGTTCTGAGCTCTGGGGTGGGTGGGTGCTGGGTGTTTTTCCTCTCTTTTTATGCAACAACGTAGTACGTCCTGAGGCTGGGGACCCCTCAAGGCCTTGAGCAAGTAAGATCCCAATCTGTGTGTGCTTCCTCTGGTCACCAGGAGGCAGAGCCATATTCAGGTTTCCATCAAGGTTGGTGCAGATTTACCCTAGAGGAAGGTCTCTGCACTAGAGATAAACTGAGGAGCTTGCTAACATCACTTTTAAAAAAGAAAGAAGTCTAAAATGCTACCAGACTAGTGTAAAATGTCTCACACAAAAGTCATCCCATCTCCCAGGAGAATATAGTTGAAGTACAGATTCTTACCAAGAAAGGCAGGAACCCAAATACTTCATAGCCTGCTTGAGGTGGCTCCAGGGAGGACTCACAAGATGAACTTGTGACCCTACTGAGCTCAGTAAGAAGCTGACTATGGACTTACAGAGAGCTGGAATTTCACCTAAAGGAAACTGATCTACAAAAATTCACAGCATTTCTCATAATCATTTTGAAAGACGTGGTTAGTCTTCAGAGTGATGCTTTCTTACAGTCTATTTGCTTTCCGACAAAATTTTAACACAGGCAAATGAGTCCCATCAAATTGATTACCTTGTAATAGTACTACTAGTTGTAATAATAATTAATGATGATGATCATGATAGTGATGATAATGATCACAATAAACCTTCTTTTCATTATGATGTAATATACCATAGAATATTGTAGAGTAGCATTAACTACAGCTTATGTTCATTATATCATATAGTACTCCCAGACTGTCAAATTTCATATTTTTTTACCAAAAGTAAATGCTGTTTTTTTGTTCTGAAAGTTCCTTTCCCCAGTTTTAGAAGAGAAAACTTCTTTAAAAATGGTAATGAATAAAACTTGTAAAATTTTAAATATCTGTAGTCTTAAGGATCAAATGGTGGAAAAAAGCTGCATTTCTATATTTGAACTGAAGGAAGATGGTTGTTAAAAAAATAACAACCTAGGAATCAAACCATATCTCGTTAGTTTTTAGGAGGACTGATTCAATATGTTTTGCATGCTTTGAGGTTGTGAGACTGAAACTCCTTCCTGTTTACCTGTAGGCTCATGGTGAGAAGCAATTCTGGCAGCTGACAAAGACTGACAGTTGATTCATTTTTTGTATGTGAAAGTGAGAGGAGTCAAGGCAAGAAGAACCCAAGTCTTTATCCTGCAACCATGTTTAATATAAAACCCCCTGATGCTTCTGCATATGAAGGTATTTAATGAATAGCGCTAGCTCGAGGAATTACCCAAATGTTTTGGCCTCCGTTACAGAAATGCAACTAAGAACCCGCTTACACTGAGGATCCTGCTGGTTTTGTGGTAGACTGTGAAAGGATGAATATCAAGTGAAGATAACACTCCTCGGTGTCTCTCAGGAGCATGCCATGGGAGTCATTATTGCTGGAAATAATCCCTAGGAAGTCAATGGAAGAACTTAACTTCAAGACAATAAGGATTTAATTTGTTGTTTTTTATGAAATCTTGATTGCATAAAAAATTATACAAGCATATATATATACATAGCAAAAGGGACTCTCACTTAGCTGTTAAAGCTCCCAGATAGAGAATCTTGCAAAGGTCTGTTTCTCTCCCTTACTTGTATTCAGGAGTGCCTTGAATTACTATCACTGGTGTAGACCTCACCCCTGGCTCAGATAACCCAAATGTGAGGTCCTACCACATTCTCGGAAGCTCTGCAGGCTGAGGTACAAGATCTACTGTCATCAGGTATCTCAAGGGTGTCATCTGGGGAAGGGTGAAGCACCCCATGGTGTCTGCCTGCCCAGAGGAGCCTGAACCCTCTCCAATGTAGGTGGGTGAAGCAGTGATCTCCCCATGGTGGCTGTGAGCAGGGCTGGGAAAGGAGGTCCTAGCCACCCTTCGTGCAGCAATCCAGAATACTGACCCAGGCAGTGGAGACCCTTCAGTCTGGTCAGATTCAGGTTTCCTGTTCCTACTTTCTGGGATAATCCTCTAAGCGCAAGGCTGTGATGTGCATCCTTTCCAGTCCTTTTCATGAAGCTGGACCACTCTACTGAGTGAAATCCAAGATCTGAAAGACCAGGTCTTGTACGTAGGAATAAGCTAAGAAGAAACCTGTTTCTCCCACCATCCATCAAGATCTGGATAATGCTGAGCTCTGGTCCTTGTTACTAAACTCACTTATGTAGTTCATACAAAGCCTCTCCCATGGAAAAGTCTGTGGAGCACGGGCTCGCTGACACATCAAGTTCTACTTTGTCAGCTCAGCTTTGCTGAGAAGAATGGACTAGATCCCTACATCTTCTAGCTTCTGTGGACTTTGGACACACTTTATGCCCAAAATATCGATTTAGATCCTCTCAAAGAGAAGACTAAACCCAAACCATCATAGCTGTGTGCTTGAGCTATGAAACTGTTGTATGAAAGTGTGTGTTGGTGACACTTCTATTCTCTCTTCCTCTACCAACATCACAAATGCAGGCAGTAACACTTCCCTTCCCCAGAAGGTTTTTAAAATAAAACACACACATGCCTAGGTGAAGAAACTTCAAGGCTGTGGAAAGGACACATATGCACATATGTCCAGGGCTTGTTTTCTAAATCGTAAAAAATGGAGAAGGGTACGAAACACAGGTCTGTCTTCATTGTTACAGTCTGTATTGCTGGAAGTGTTTTTTTTCTCAACCTGCTGGTTTGATGGATGGAATCCACTTTGGGGTGTCATTTCCCCCTGCACCCGCATGCAGAGAGCCTGGATGCCACCTGGGGTTGAGTGTGGAGGTACCTGCTCCCCAAAGGCAGCCTGTGTTCCTGCCCAGACTCTTGTGTGGAAGTGACCTTTACTGGTTTCCAGGCTAATGGTTTTAAATAGTGCTCAGGATCAGAAATGCTTTTTAGTCAAATAGGTATGTTCAGCCAAGGGAAGCAGATTTTTTAAGGGCAGAAAGGTCTTTATGCACAGAGGACCTAACTCCTGACGTTTCAGCATGCCTGACTTTCACCTTGAGAGACTTTGTGCATAAAAGCATCATACACCATACATATATCCAGTGCCTGGCCAGGCTGTAATGGATGCTGCTCCTTTAAATAAGTTTGTTATTTTTCATCTTGCTCTGTTGGGCACCGCAACACTGAAGTCATGTTGAGAATATTGCTCTAAACCTATTCTAAAAATGAGAGTTAGGAGCCCAAGCCATTACTTAGTCATTTCTACACTTCATCTCATAAGCTTCACGCAACAGTAAAATGTACTTGGTCACAGTTATGCTGAAGACACTGCAAATACTCTCTTCAATGGAGGTGATCAGAATCACATCCTCTGGCCACCTGCATATTCTCAGCATGAAACAGAAATCATGTTTAGGGCATGGCATTAGTTACTGAACTGCAGTGGAAGGGTAAAATGGATTTATTTTTACTGTACTTGAAGTGAGGAAGGAGTTAATCATTGCAAAATACGTGGTCATTTCCTGAGCCCTGTGGTTGGATGAGTACAAACTTTCAACTATTTCTAATTCTTCTCTGTCATTTAAGAGGCTTTCAAGGTGCACTGTCCATCCCAGACCAGGTAAGGAGTACAGCTTTTCATTTCTTGATTGTTTATTCAAAATTGTTTTTCGGTGGAGTCAGACTCAGTTAAGATTGAATTGTTCTCCTTCCTATTACTTACATCTGAAGAGAGAACAAAGTTCATTGCAATCCAAGAAGTACATGTGTGTCTTTGTGCCAGATGACTGTAAGCTGTAGAAATAAAGAACTGTATGGGTTAATAGTTGAGCAATAATAATGAAGTATGTTACACAATTAGAATTATTACAGCAAATACTGCCATAAAAGAGAAAGAAAACTCTTACTGCCAGATATAAGGAGTTTACTCTGCACAAACCACTTTCAAAATAAGGGGTTCTCAGGTGTACAGTTTGCTTTAGTAAGGATAGTAGCAAAAATCATAGTGTGTCTTCAATGCTGTTTTCAACAGTGAAATCATATTTTGAAACACTATAAAAATAGTATTTTTAAAAGGAGGAAGAATGAGCTTCTATATATTTGGGGATAAAAAAAAAAAATCTGATAATTTTGGACCAGTTTTATTTGTAAATCTGAACCTACTATCTATCTTTAGCTATTGCAGAGTCACGTATTGTAGTCATCCTGAGACTGTTCCTGAGGTTTGCAGCAACTAAACATATGCTCAGAAGTGACTGTGGAACCGTATCATAGAACGATATAATTTCATCGGGGTCTTTTGGTGCATAAAAACTGAACTCAGACAGACGGGCACCAGAAGGAAGTCTCGTAATGCAGTGCACTCTTGCATACTGCATTTGTTGTCTCAATAGACAAGGAGAGAGATTATTTGTCTGAAAGTTTCTTTAATAGTTCAGAAACAAGCATAAAATAGCCATCTGTAAAGCAGCTACTGTAATAATGTGCAGTCATCAGGTTGCCCTACAGAAAGTGAAATTGTATGTGCTGTGAGGATCCCTGTGTGAAGTCATGTATTGGAGATTCAGGGTTTTGGCATTTGTTTTTTTTTAAGTCTTTGCTTGTAATCAGTTTTGGTGTTTGGACATTGGCTCCTTGACTGTGCTCACGATTTGGTATAAACACTCTCTGGATTTTATACATAGTGGTTGCAAGAATCTAGCTAAGGTTTTCAAAAGCATTCGTTTGATTCAGATATGTCAGTCTTACCAACGTTTGGACTTCATTCTTAAGCCACCTCCACCTTACCTGTGAGATTGGTATTACAGTAGCAATCCTCTGTAATGAATTTGACCCTTAAAAGACTATGAGCCACAGAAGTTTTCTCATTGTCATTTACAGATGAGGAACTGGGATGAATCCCAGTTGATGCAAGACTTGTGCCCTGGTTTCCACAGCTCCTGAGGGCAGGCAATCTGATCAAGAGTCCCAGGTCTTCCCTTGCAAAAAGCTGTACATCAGTTTAGACACAGCTAGAGAGCCTGTCATTGTCTTGCTAGGGAAGAAGCTATGGCATGGGTAGAAGCATTTGCATCAGCCTTAGTTTTCTCAGTTTGAACCTCAGTATTAAACAATCTGCTGTTCCTTACGGCCCTGTATGGCCATAGCTGCTAAATACTTGCAGCCTATGCTACAGCTCGCTGGATGAAAGTTGGCTGAGGTGTGTCTACATTTCCCAGTTATTGCATAGGCACAACCCAAGGAAAAGTACTCAGCAGCTTTGTGTGGGAAGAACAAACTGAAGCCAGGCCTCCCCTGTCACTAACCAGCAGCTTACCCACTGCTTCTGCATCCCTTGAGGTGCATTTATTGAAACTGTGTTTTCACCTTCTGAATTTCAGGATGGGTTTGGGTTCAACTTTTTGTCTCAACTCTGCAGACAATTTTGCTCTCTGACAACTGTAAGTGCATAAAGGGCCAACTCAGGCGATTTCAAATATTTGTTTGCAGTGCTCTCTTGCAGCATGAGTATTATTGTCTGGTGTGGGAATAGGGTGTACTCCTCAGCTCTCCATGGGAGGCTGGCGTGCATTATATGTAGCGGTATAACAGGATGGAAAAGAAACAAACCCTAGAAAAGCCAGTCCTTGTTCAGTAAACGTGGTCTCTCCCAGTAACCGCTGTGTTCTGGTCAAGCGCCTAGAGCGGAGAATCTCAGCAGCCCACAACCTAGCCTCAAGAAGCTATCCTGTGTTGGGCTTCCTCTGTCCGGCTCAAAAGCGGAGAGACACCAAGACTGTTTCTCAATGTGTTTAAAAGACGTGGTGGTGCTTTGCACACATATTGCCACCTAACTATTTGCATAGTTTCCACATAAAAAGTTGTTTCGAAGCTGAAGTCCAGAGGGGTTCACCACTGACAATGTTTGCAAAGCCTCCAAATGAAAATGTTTGCAAAGCCTCCAAATGAAAACATCCAAATGAAGGATGTTTTTAATATCAGGCATACTTACTGACAGTGTTCTCATGTTTTTCACAACTTGCAAAAGGAGCTTGAAAATGGAGCTCTCCTCTGAAAAATGACTATAGAAATGGGAATGTTTGGCCCTTGATTACTGCCTTAAAAGTTCCTGGATGAAATTCGCTCATTTTATGAGTAAATGTCTTTGGAACTGTTGTTTGGGATTGTTTTCTCTTACTGCCAGCTCTTGAATGGGAAGGTCAAGTTGGTGTTCCTTCTGGGCTTACTATTTATATGCCGGAAACCTGAGAGGGACTCTTACCCTTAGAATTAGGGTTATTTTAAAATAGGTTTAAAATAGGTAATATAATCCAATTTTTGTCCAAATTTGCATCCTAATCAATGAGAAATATCCCACATGATTCATTCTACAACCTTGAATCTGCAATGTCAGTTTGATCTGGTCTCTTTTCATACATTTTTGATTGGAAGCCTTCTGTCCTTACTGAAATTTTCCATTGGTAGTCTTATATTTCAGTGTTGTTGAGTATATAAATAAAGCTAAATACTCAGATGGAGGAAGAGAGAAAGAGATCTGTACGTGCTTCATGCAACAGCTCAGGTTTTTAAATGCTGCATTTTATCTCTCATTGATATCATAACAGGGAGAATCTGCCTGTTTGCACACAGATTGATGAAGGCCCAAGAGTCATTCAAGCTGGGGCAAGGCATCTGTAAGCTTGTCCATCAAGAGCTGCACATATTTGTCATATTTTCACACTACTGCATGAGGAA